GTAAAATACTTTTCTTCTAAAGTATTTTTCTAACCTTTTATGGAGTAGAAAAATGAAGATGAAGTTAAAATGATTTATAATCACCACTGATATCAGGGTCAATGATTTCATACATATATTATTCTGGGCTGGTAAAATGGCTCAATGGGTAGAGACACTTCCTGCCAAACTGGAAATTTACCGTGAAGTCTGTATTGTCTGTTCAAAGATATCTGAAGCTCAGTTGGAATTTGCTGCCATTTGTGACCCAAGTGTGAAGGAGCTAAAATTGCCAGACTGTATAACTTTAGAATTTTTATGTGTTTATATATAAAATATATTCTTCTATCTATCTCTGTGTCTGTCTCTGTATCTCTATCTCTGGAAGAACAGCCAGTGCTCTTAACTTCTTAGCCATCTCTCCAGCCCCCTGTATCTCTGTGTCAATGCTATGGATCAAATCCAGAACATCCCTTGCACATTATAGAAAAATATATAAAAGAATATTTCATAATAAATTATGAACTGAGGCAGTAGCTCAACAGAAAAGCACTTACCCATCATGTGTGATGCTCAATGTGAAATCTTCAACACAACAAAATTAAGTAAAATATAATAAAGTAGTCTCAATTTTTTATTTTTAAGTAGAAAATATCAACCGGAACTAATTTTTAGGATGGGAAATACTTTCCTGGTTAGAAAACTGCAGTAAGTCAGACTTATTTTAAAAGGAGTCATCTGTGCTGGAAAAGAATCATTTTATAGTTCAGTGACTTAGTACTGTACTTTAAAAGGATATGCTCCTTGAGGAACAAACCAGTTTAAAAATACTCTTCATGAAAAGTTTCACAAGGAGATCACATAATCTTCATTTTACAGCTGCTTCTTGAAACGCCTCAATAACCATTTACATTTCAATGTTGAATCTTTAAAAAGCTAAAAGTGAGTTCTGGATAAGACAGCACTCATTGCATTTGATGGACAGGGCATTTTTTTTTTTTTTGAGCGTTCCTCCATCCCTGGAGGACATTCCTACACAGCTAAAGTGGTAAGACAAATGCAAAGCAGAAGCTGGTTAACTCCCCACCCCCGAAACACTGTCGAAGCAGAAGGCTGGCCTGCCCCCCACCCTAGACTCCCACTCTTCACCTTCTTAATCTTTCAACAGAAATGCCAACCCTCCTCCAGCTCTGTGCTTTTTAAAGTATAGACTTCTGCACTTAAACACACAGCTCCACCAAGCCTCCCCAGAGAGTGTCACTACATGCTGTTCAATGCCTTTCTAAAGATGGGCCCAGGAGACACCCTGTTAACAAGGGACCAGAGATGGGCAATCCCGCATCCCTCCAGATCCTGTAAAATCCTTACCCCAAATGGAAAGCCATGCAGTTGGTGGCACCTTACAGAACCACTCTTACTAAACTCCATTGACACAGTGACATTCCACTTTACTAAGGGTCAGAATACAAACAGTCCCCAAGAACTGGCCCCTACAAAAGAGTGATGTGGAAGGACACGTTAATGAAATTTCTTTCTTGTATTTGTACTAGAAAAGTCAATATTGCTTCTGATATAGTGAGATTGTTCCTTACAGACAGTGCAAGACTTGTGTCTAATCATACACTGTCTTTGAACTGACTGATTCTGAATGAAGCTAATTGTTTAGTCTGTTTCTGCTTCATACTTTACATGTCTAAGCTCACTGGACAGGTTTCCTTTACCCTGGATTAGTCGGCTTTCTGCCATTGTAACAAAACACCTTCGATAATCAGCTTAAAAAGTTGAAAGGTTGGTGGCACATGCCTTTAATCCCAGCACTCAGGAGGCAGAGGCAGGCGGATCTTTGTGAGTTCAAAGCCAATCTGGTCTACAGAGTGAGTTCCAGGACAGCCTCCAAAACAATACAGAGAAACCCTGTCTCGAAAAACAAAACAAAACCAAAAAAAAAGTTGAAAAGTTGTTGGGCATGGTAATCCAAGCACTTTAGAGGCTGAGACAGAAGGATTATCAGAAGTTTCAAGACAGCCAGACACTGTCTTACCCCCACTACCACCCCACACACTATACATATAAGGAAGTGGTTTCTGGGGATCGTACTTTGTAGGTTTCAGTCCAGCCTTGATTGGCCCTGTCTCTTGGCCTTTTGCTAAGGCTGATCATCAAGGTGGAAGTATGTAGTACAGGAAATTGTTCATGGCAGCCGCGAAGCAGAATAAACACAGGAAAATACTGGATCCAAATATTCTCTATGAAGTCTGTGCCCAATAAACAGACTGTCTCCTACCACGCTCCACCTCTTAAAGGTCACACCACCTCCCAGTAGAGCCACAGACTAAGGAATGAGCCTTGAACAAATAGGCCTTTGGGTATTTACCCAAGCCACTGCACACCTCATGCTTGTCTTTTGTTAATGACTGTACCTTTTCAAAACAACCTAATTAAGTCCTTTTGGGAAAGAGGAGGCTATAAATAAAGTTCCAAGTAAGCAACAATTTTTCTATACATAAAGTTTGTTAGGTTCTTAAGAGTGTGTGTGTGTGTACACATGTGCATGCCTGTGTGGGTGCCGTATGTATAGTGCCTATAGAGCCAAGAGGTTGACATTGTGAGTCGTCCTCACTTGCTCTCCACTGTTTCTTTGAGGCAGGGTCTCTTACTGAACCTGGAGCTCACTGATCAGCTAGACTGGCTGGCCAGTGAGTCCTGGGGATCTTGGAGCCTCCACATCTGCAGGGCTAGCCTGGTGGGTGCATGCTGCCACATCAGACTCTTCTGGGGGATTAGAGTCAGATAGTTGTGTGTGTAGGGCAAGCAGTCTATGAACGGAGCCATGTCCCCAGTCCTAAGAGATACTTTAAGCTTCAGGGTTTAAAATTGTGCTTCTTAACACCTATAAGGAAATAATTAAGACAGCAGGTTTTCCGCAAAGATTTTAGATTTGAGACTTTTTCATATTTTATAAACATACTGTTTTGAAAAAGTAGGTACATTTAAAACACCAAGAAATGTTACAGTTGATCCCTTTGTCATTTAATAAGAACAGAATTTCTCTACATGTGTCAGATACATCTATAATTTATATATTGATACCTATTTAATAAATTCCATTTTAGAATTATTTCTGTGATTGATTTGACATTTATGATTTTAACCCCAGAAAAAACCTAGAATGACTCATAATGAATATAGTATGTATATATATTAGCAGGTAAAGCTAAAGGGGAAAAAAGATGAGGATAAAATATTGAACTTCATGCAGGCATCAAATTCAGTAGCTTTCGTCAGAGTGCCGAGGATAAATGATTGAGGGCTCGGCCCTAAATGGATTATCTTTATCAATCCTCCCACTCCCGCCCAAGCTCAGGGAACATCACAGAAGAGGAGGCAGGGAAGGTGTAAGAGCTGAGGTGGGGAGGAGCACAGCTGGAGGATGGGGAGGAGCACAGCTGGAGGATGGGGAGGAGTAGAGCTGGAGGATGGGGAGGAGCAGAGCTGGAGGATGGGGAGGAGCAGTGCTGGAGGATGGGGAGTAGAGCTGGAGGATGGGGAGGAGCAGAGCTGGAGGGTGAGGAGGAGCAGAGCTGGAGGATGGGGAGTAGAGCTGGAGGATGGGGAGGAGCAGAGCTGGAGGATGGGGAGTAGAGCTGGAGGATGGGGAGGAGCAGAGCTGGAGGGTGGGGAGGAGTAGAGCTGGAGGATGGAGAGGAGTAGAGCTGGAGGTTGAGGAGGAGCAGAGCTGAAGGTTGGAAGGAGCAGAGCTGAAGGTTGGAAGGAGCAGAGCTGGAGGATGGGGAGGAGCAGAGCTGGAGGATGGGGAGGAGCAGAGCTGGAGGATGGGGAGGAGCAGAGCTGAAGGTTGGAAGGAGCAGAGCTGGAGGATGGGGAGTAGAGCTGGAGGATGGGGAGGAGTAGAGCTGGAGGGTGGGGAGGAGCAGAGCTGGAGGATGGCGAGTAGAGCTGGAGGATGGGGAGGAGCAGAGCTGGAGGATTAGGAGGAGCAGAGCTGGATATTGGGGAGGAGTATAGCTGGATGATGGGGAGGAGCAGAGCTGGAGGATGGGGAGGAGTATAGCTAGAGGGTATGGAGGAGTGCTGTGAAATGCTATCTTCTGACCTGATGTGGCTAGTGTCCTCACAAATTCACAGAAGCTGTGGTTAGCTGTGGAGACTTACACAAGATCAAACCAGCCAAAATTCCAGCCCAGATGAGGAAGTAACTCTTGAGGAACTCCCCTAACTTAGGGGCTGTTAGCAGGTGACAGCTGATGACAGGAGGAGACTCATTCTCTGGGGTGACTACTGACAGGTTACCCACATCCCAGGAGACGGCCCCACATCCGTGCACACATGGGCAGCACTGAGTGGGCTAGTAAAAAAGAAGACAGGAAGCTGAGAGGAGAATGTGGAGGGTGGGACAGGGTGGGTTAGGATCACGGTTGATCGTATACACAAATGCAATTCTCAAGGAATCAACCATAGTTTCAGTTCCTGAGATCCAAAACTTTTTAAGGAAACAAAACAAGTTTCAAAGATTTCAATTCCTGATTATAGAAAAAAAATTCTATTGTTATTTTTATTCCTGGAAGACCACAAAACTTTAAAGTGTTGGAAGTTAGTTTTTTGGACTGGAGGAGGTCTCTGTGGTTCAGGGATCTTGCTGTTTTTGCAAAGCATCGGGGTTTGGTTCCTAGCACTCCTGTTGGGTAGTTCATAACCTCCTGTAACATCAGCTCCAGAGGATCCTATGTCTTCTTCTGACCTCCATGGGGACCAGCACACATATAACACATACAGACACACATTCATGTAAGTAAAAATCAAAGTAAATCTTTTAAAAACTAATTTCTTTAAGCAGGAGGATATTCTTGGGTCATGTTTCGATGTGTTGTGTTTTTGCGAGTTTGTTCTGTCATAGTTTTTCTATGCTAGAATTAGGAAATGTCCACACTGAAAGCTGTGCCTATATTACTTCATATGAAATACACAAATGCCACTCTAACCAGCATTTCTTGCTTTTGCAGTATACTCCTGATCATGTAGCTGGGCCTGGAACAGACATCGACCCCACACAAATAACCTTTCCTGGGTGTGCTTGCGTCAAAACTCCATGTCTCCCTGGCACGTGCTCCTGTCTCCGCCATGAGAATAACTATGATGACAATCTGTGCCTCAGAGACATAGGCTTGGAAGCAAACTATGCCAAACCAGTTTTTGAGTGCAATGTCCTCTGCCAGTGTGGTGAGCACTGCAGAAACAGGGTGGTCCAGAATGGTCTACAGTTCCGTCTCCAGGTGTTCCAAACGGGTAAGAAGGGCTGGGGACTACAGACCTTGGAATCTATACCCAAGGGAAAATTCGTCTGTGAGTATGCTGGGGAGATTTTAGGATTCTCTGAAGTACAGAGAAGAATTCATCTACAAACAACACATGACCCAAATTACATCATCGCCATCAGGGAGCACATTTATAATGGACAGGTCATGGAAACTTTTGTCGACCCTACCTACATAGGAAATATTGGAAGATTCCTGAATCATTCTTGCGAACCAAACCTGTTGATGATTCCTGTCCGAATTGACTCAATGGTGCCTAAGCTGGCACTTTTTGCAGCCAAAGATATTTTGCCAGGAGAAGAACTCTCTTATGACTATTCAGGAAGATTCCTTAATCAAGTAAGCAGTAAAGAGAAAGAAAGGATAGACCATGGACAACTAAGAAAGCCTTGTCACTGTGGTGCCCCATCATGTGCCACCTTCCTGCCCTATGACAGTTCACTATACTGCTCCTCAGAAAAACCAGACACCAGTTAAGAACTAGTTAAGACGCCTGTCAGCCAGCGTCTCTGAAAACTGAAACCAGAGAGAATCAAGCAAGCATTAAGTGATTTATCTACGTCCTGGTTTCTCTCCCGAAAATGACCTACCCTCAAGGGAAGTGTACCTTGTAGTCAGCAGCTTGTGTATTCCTGTAAGAAAGACTAGGGGTTGCCCAGCCTTGCCTCTACCAGGCTGCCTAAATCTGACCCAAGAATACAGCCTAGACTATAAATGTCCAGCTGCACCCTTTCTCCAGAATACTTGCTTTTATAGTTAGTTGTGGGTAAATGGCTATGTTCAAATTGGCAGGATACAAGCAGAAATGATGAATGTTTGGGTATCATCTCGTATTTCTCCTTGGAACCCAGAATTTATACTTGATGGCTGGAGTTGGGAAAGGGTCATGCACAGCAAATAAATAAGATATGTGGTGCTGTAAAAGATGCTGCTAGTCCTGACCTGTTGCCTCTGTACTTGTAAGTGGGAAGCTTACAACATTAAGCCACTGTCTCCTTGTATTTGAGCAAACCTTACGATTCAAAAAGACCTCAGCCTTCACAGCTAGTTTTATCAGTAATAAAGCTGTTTGTTTTTTTTCTGTCTGACTCCTGATTTTATTTCTTGTTTGTTTCTAATCATGAGTTAAGGAGAAAGGATGTTATCACTGCTAAAACCTAATAATCACCAGAAATAATGAAGTACAACCATGAGAATGATTTCCATCTATAATCAGGTCAGAAAAGGAAGCCTGTTGTAAAGTTTTGACTACGCTCTTGGCTGTGTCCCAGAGCTTATGAAGTTAGGTTTCAAAACCTCAAACAACCTCACTCCTTCACTTATTAATAAGATAAAAATAACCGTGTCAACACCAAAGAAGCAGATGGGAGTTGTATAATCCTATTTAAACTTCTAGAGGAACACAAGCCTCTGACTGCCTTTCTTAAAGCAGGATATTATAAAAACATAGTTAACTACAGTCTGGGGAATAGAACTCATGGATAGAGCTCATGCCTAGCATGCAGAGGCTCCTGGCTCCAGCCTATGTACCACAAGATAAATAAGTAAGAAGACAGCTGTTTTAAAACTCAGGTTAGTTCAGCCGGGTGGTGGTGGCACACGCCTTTAATCCCAGCACTCGGGAGGCAGAGGCAGGCGGATCTCTGTGAGTTCGAGGCCGGGCTGGACCGATAGCCTCCAAAACAATACAGAGAAACCCTGAGTAAAAACAAAACAAAAAACTCAGGTTAGTTCTACATATATTCTGTGGAAATTAAATATCTTAAAAGGGAGGCCTTGGGTAGTAGATCAATATTTACCATGGCATACAAATGACCTTTAGGAGCCCATTCCACATGGAGGGATGCTCACTCAGCCTGGACACATGGGAGAGGGCCTAGGATCTACCCTGGATGAAATGACAGACTCTGGAAATCCCCCATGGAGGGCCTCACCCTCTCTGGGGAAGAATGTGGGGCTTGGGTGGGGGGCTGGGCCCTGGTGGAGGGGCAAGGGAGGAGAGGAGGGAGAGGGAGCTGGGATTGATATGTGAAGCAAGCTTGTTTCTAATTTAAATAAAAAATTATATTAAAAAGGCAATTATTCAATCATGTATATTATTAATAAAAAGAAATTGATTTCTGTAGTACATATAAACCATACTATAAGGAGGCTTTCTGCTTTAAAAAGATTTATATTATTTACAACATCCCATTCTAGTGGAAAATCTAAGTGTGTTCGTTGTCCATCAGAAACAAGGGAACTGTATGTGAATTATCTCAGTAAAGGTGCTATGAGTATACCAGTTTGTATTCTCATAACATCAGAAATTACTCCCTGGATACAAGATAGTAGTTTATACATAAAATGTCACAAGTTACAAGGGTATGATGTCAAAATTTTCCTCAACTTTGACTTCTCTGAAATCTCTTGATTTACTTTGTAAAAATCAGCTTTTATCTCTCACTCCAAATGACTCTTTTCCTTGTACTGCTGCAAAGGACCCAAGCTACATGAGGAGAAAGATGGAAATCCCTGGAAGAAAGTCTGGCTCACTTGTTGAGATGTCCTTTGGTATTTTTCATTCACTCTCTATTGACCTTCTCCATGTTTATTCAGGGATATACACAGAGGACAATATGGAGATACGTTAGCCCCCACCACCTTGGTACTTCAGCCATAGAGGAAACTGAATACAATGAGACACTTGAGGTGTGTGTGTGTGTGACTTTTGTCTTAGTTGCTTTTCTATTGCTGTGATAAAACACTGTGACTGAGACATCTAATAAAAGAAAGTGTTTAATTGGGCTTATGATTTCATTGAGAGTTCATGATGGCAAAAGCATGCCAGTAGGAACAGCTGAGAGCTCACATCTTGATCCACAAGCATAAGACAGAACTAACTGGGATGGTGCAAGTCTTTGAAACCTCAAAGCCCATTCCCAGTGACACACCTCCTCCAACAAGGACACACCTCCTAATCCTTCCCAACAGTTCCACCAACAGTAAGCCAAGTATTCAAACGTATGAACCCATGAGGGTCATTCTCATTTAAACCAACCAACACATCCTTGTGTACTTTCTTATTCTTAAATAAAACAAAATCCTGAAAAAGCATTTTCCTAAGGTTAAATCTGAAGTCTTTCTTAAGCACCAAGTTAACTGCATTTGCTTTGTTTTCTTAATATTACCATGGGGGCTGCAAAGGTATCTCAGTGGTTAAAGCACTGGATGCTCTTGGAGAGGACCTAGGTCTACTTCCTAGTACACACATGGTACCATCTGGTACTCCAGTTACAGGGGAGTTGATACCTCTTCTGGCCTCCCTGGGAACATGCAACCTCAGGTATGTGTGTGGTCACATGTATACTTGTAAGCAAAACTTCTGATACACAAAACGTAAAAAGTTTTACAAAAAAAATGCTGATGCTTCTACCTTTCAGAGAACACATTTTAAAATATGCTTCTGCTTGACTACTACGATAAAAACAATGCATTTCTCACTGTGCCTTACATGGTATAATAAAGATGGTTCTTCCCTTCTGTGATCTTCCTAAGTCCCATCACCCCACTATAGTCATGAGAAAAAAGTAATATAAATGCAATAAAGAAGCATTCTATAAAAGTTTTGGCATAACTCCTCAAAAACTGTCAAGGTCATCAAAGACAATGAATGTCAGAGTGGAAGAAATGGCCCAGTAGTTAAAAGCACTGGCTGCTCTCCCAAAGGATCTGGGTTCAATCCCAGCATCCACATGGCATCTCACAGTCACCTGAACTCCAGTTCCAGAGTATCTAGTGCCCTACTCTGACCTTGTTGGGCAGCATACAAATGTGGTACACTTATATATACCTGCAGGAAAAACAACTGAAATTACAAAAAAAAAAATTATGTAAGTCAGAAACAGCCACAGCCAAGAGGAGCCAAAAGAGAGATAACATCTACATGCAACATGGTGTCATGGAGCAGATGACAGGTAAAACTGCAGCACCAACTACAGACTTCACTTAAGAATGACATTTGTTGCCAGACGGTGGTGGTGCACCCCTTTAATCCCAGCACTCAGGAGGCAGAGGCAGGAGAATCTCTATGAGTTCAAGGCCAGTCTGGTCTACAAGGCTACACAGAGAAACTGTCTGGAAAAATCAATTAAAAAAAGAATGACCTGTCAATATTGGTCCACCAACTGAAACAAATGCAGCATCTCATCTCACATCTTGATCCACAAGCATAAAACAGAACTAACTGGGATGGTAGAGATGAGATGTAATGTCACTGTGCTGTGCTGATAGCAGATGCTACTGGGTGTCAGAACTCATCTCAGTTTATCCATAAACCTGAAATGATTCCATAAACGTCTACTACAAAAGTGAGTCAAACAATTAGAAAGTCTGTTTCTCTGATGAATGTGTACACACAGCAAATAAGTGAATGAAAGCATTCTTAAGGCCATTAGCAATTAGAGAGGTACAAATCAAAGCCACAGTACCACTTCAGATTCACTATGACAGTTATAACCAGAGTGACTGTGGCAAAGGTTGACAAGGATGCCAAGATATGGAACATTATATATGATTAGTGGGATTACAAAAGTATACAGGTACTTTGCAAGGCAATTTAGGAGTTCCTCACTACATGTACTAGGTAAAACCCCAAGAAACTTCAAATGCCCAAAAGAAACTTGAGTACAAAGCTCATACCATTATTCACAGTAGCAAAAGGAGGACACTAGACAAATGGCTGGAAATGAGCAAATGTATGAAATGTGGTGTCCATTCAGGGAGTATTATTTGACCATATGAATGAAGTACTGAAACACACCATGACCTAGTTGATCCTTGAGGAAAGACATTGTGCTAAAGAAGAGACGCCAGGAACATCTATTCAATAAAGTCTAGTTCTGTTTATGTGAACTATACAGAACTGGCAATTCTGTAGAGCCATAACATAGACTAGTGGTTCTTAGGGGCTGGACACAGGAGGCAGTATTAGGAGGTTGTGAAGGGGATATTTTTGGTTGTCAACTTGGCTTCATCTATATTTAGCTAAAACTCTAATGGCTAGGTACACCTCTGCAGGTATGTTTTTTTATTAAATCATTTGAAGTGGGAAGAGCCACTTATATGGATCTTTGAGGTAGGAAGATTCACCTTTAATCTGGGCCACACCTTCTGACAGACAAGGATGAAGGAAGCTTGCTATCATTTTGCTGGCTTGCTTTTGCTCATGCTGGCAAGTTCATTCCTTCACTAGTATTAGAGCCTATTTCTTCAGGTTTCCAGCATATATTGAAGGCCACCTAGACACCCAGTCTTATGAACTAAACAACTGCTGGGTTTTTTGGATCTTCCATTGGTAATCAGCAGCTGTTAGACTAGCTGGACCACAGCCCATAAGACAGCCTAATAAATCCCCTTTATATAGATAGATGATAGGTGATAGATAGGTCATTCTACAAGCTCTGTTCCTCTAGAGCAGTGGTTCTCACCCTCTGGGTCATAACCCCTTTGGGGTCAAATGGCCTTTTCAAGTGGTCACCTAAGACCATCAGAAAACACAGATATTTACATTACAATTAATAACAGTAGCAAAATTACAGTTATGAAGTAGCAATGAAAATAATTCTTATGGTTGGGGGTCACCACAACATGAAAACCTATATTAAAGGGTCACAGCTTTAGGAAGGCTGAGAACCACTGCTCTAGAGCATCCTGACTAATACAGGGCTGCTGATTGCTACTTGGTACATTAGCATATTTGGGGACAATAATAAAATATTCTAGAGTTAGTGGGGGCTGTTGTGTAATTTGCTATGCTTTCTTGTTTGGGTGGTTGTTTTTTGGTTTTGTTTTGTTTTGTTTTGTTTTGGAAAACAGAGTTTCTCTGTGTAGTCCTGGCTGTCCTGAAACTCACTTTGTAGACCAGGCTAACCTCGAACTCAGAGAACTTCCTGCCTCTGCTTCAAAGAAGCTAGGGTTAAAGGTGTGCATCACCACCACCCAACTTGTTATGCTTTTTAAAGGGGAGAATTGAATGAATGATAGCTCTCCTAACTTTCTGTCTGAAAAAGAAGGAATAAGAGGGGAGGAGAGAGGAGAAAG